CGCTGCGGCCGCGGGCGGCTCAGCTCCTTCCGTGACGGCCGGCGGGTGTGCGGGGCGGCCGCAGGGCGTGGCTGCGAGCAGCCCGTGCTCTGCTCGGCTTAAACCGGCTCCTCTGTCACTCAGGTCAGAGCCCGCCGGCTCCCCGCGCCTCCCCTGTGCCGGCGCCGCGTCCTGCCTCCACGGGGCGCACAGACTGCCGAGCAGAAACTTTCTGCTTTAGTGTTTCCGCGCCGTTGGTTAAGGGAAAACGGGGGGAAACGGCTTTTTTAACGTGCCCGGAACCAACCCGGGCCACCCATGTAGCTGGGGACAACGTGCTCTTGGGTTTAAGTCATGTATTTCGGTTATTTGATGGTCTGGGTGCCCTGTTGGGCAGGCAGTTGTACCAGTTAGACAGGCTTCTCTACCCCGAATAAGTAAAACATAATCATTCTTTAAGAAAATTATAAAGCATGTCAAACGCCAGTGATTTGTCAGTCTGTAGTAAGCTCACATGGGCTAGGCTTATTAAATCTTGCTTAAAGAGGATTGTATGGAATGAAAAATAAATAAACTGCGTGCATGTACATTCAGATGTGGGTGCAAACGTGAGAAGATCCCTTGAAAAGGTTTGTGTTTGCTGAACCGAGGGATGGAGGTGGCCAGAACATCCAGCCACATGGCTGCTAGCACACCGCACCAAGTTTAAAAAGGGCTTTTTATCAGAAAAAAATCACCTCAGAAAAATGACATGTGATTTCTGAATGCACTTGTGACTCGTCCTCAGTTAGGGGCACCGGCCGGTCTGGCTCTGCGGAGGCTTAGGTGTACGGACACCGTTCTGCACAGAGCTGTGCGGAATCCCCTTGGTCTCCACTGCGGCCATTTTGCCACCCATGTTTGTCCACAGCGCTGAACCCCTGTTGTTGCTGGTTACTGGTAATACACCTCAGAGTAAGTGAACTAAATTCTAGTTCCAGAAAAGATAACTTACCCCACAGCCCCCGCCAAGAAGCGGTGGTAGCATTTTAAAAACATTCATGTGTATTGGTGTGCACTGAAAAGGCTTTCTAAGTCATGTCTCGGATGTGGAGGAGCCATAGATCGTCTCCTCAGCGCCTGGGTGATAACCACAGTACCCACACCGCTGCAGGTTGTGCGACTGCTCTGGCCAAAACTGTTTTGGAAGAGTTACAAGGAGGCAACGTCTTATTGTGACTGTTTGTTTATTTAGTAGACTATTTATCCTGGACTATTTGTCCAGCTGCAGAGATCTTTGGGGCTACTGGTGCAAACTGGGATGGTTCTGTGGAGTTAGCATGCAGTGACCTGGCAGAGGAGTGACTCAGAAACATGAGGCAAGGAGTCTAATTTGAACCTACAAGAAATACGACTTCTAGGAAGTTCAGATACTTAAAATTCTGAATACTCTAAAAGCCAGTTTCTTACACAGCAGGCAGTTCCTTAATGCCATCTTCCTACGCCTGAAACCATCAATTTTTCCTTATATAAAACTATGCCCTAAGAGTCCTTTGTATTTTCTCTGCAGCCTTGAAATTTCTGTCTAAGCCCATGGACTTGCATAAAAGCCGAAGACAGTAAAGAAATGTGATAGAAGTTCAATTCCTTTTAGATACTATACTGTGGAATGGCAGGAAGAGGAATGGCCATTGATTGGTGTATTTCAGAACAGACTCTCAGTCTGACCCACACACACTGGGCAATTTTATAACAGTGTAGTCTAGATGGCTTGCACTTTGTCTTCATGTTGTTCTGATCAGTTTGACAGCTACATCCATCTGGAGCCTTTTGGTACAACAAAACAGTAAAAAGGAAGTTGTGAAGGAGCTGTCCTGTCCTTTCATGCAGTCATGTTATTTTGTGTCTTTCTGTTCAGCTTTCTTGTGTTTCTGAGGTACCAGATCTATTATGGTTACCCTCTGCAGACATACCTGGAATATCCCATCATCATTGCACAAGGTAATTTTTTAAAGTCATGATTTGGAAATAAAGCAGGGCCCATTCAGCACTCCAAGGCTCTGCGTGTAGGTACAATACTTCACTGCAGTGATGTGAATCCACTGACCAGTTCTAGCTGGAGTCAGGGGAAAGAGGGAATGAATATCTCAAATATAATTGAATTCTTACAAATTTTATGAAAACAGGTAGAGGAGAAAAATCTAATTAACACACACACAGTGGAGTTGCAGTATAAGTTCATCCTCACCAGTGTAAGTGATTCCACATGGGAGAAAAGCATTATAACACTCCAGACTTTATGAAAAGCTTCATTTTGGAGCTTGCAGTGTTTTGGACATCAATCAAATTTGAGAAACAAAACCTGCATGAAACAAATTTCCATAGACATGGTGCCCAGTGGAACTGTCAAAGATTGCATTTGGGTCCCCTCTCTCCCTTCAGTGACGAGCGATCTTTTTTTTATTTCAGATGCCATTCTCCTTTTGCTTATTCTGCGTTTCAGTGGAAACATGAAACGAGCTTTGTTCTATGCAGTCACGTATCCTTTGAAATCTGGGAATTTTGGTTTATGTAGCTTGTTTGGTAGTTCTTTGCATATGTCATCATTTGTTTTGTGCTACCATTGTAAATAATTTTCAGCTGCCCCTCAACGTGCATTTCACGTTCACATGGTGATCTCTGGGATCACAGAAAATCTCTACAAGAAGTAAACTTTATATGTAGCTGTGCTTTAGAAGGCGCACAACTTATAAGGAGTAAGATCAATTCTTAATTTACATCTTAACTAGAGATACAGGGTGGAAATGATTAATCTTTTTTATTTGATTGATGAACACAGCAGAGTTTGCCTTTTTTTTAAAAAAATAGGACGGGTTTAAATCTTGTGCTTTGGAGCAGATCTTGAGAAACTGCTCAGCCAAAGACAGTGTGAAAAATAGGAATGCTTAATGTTTCAACCAGTGCTTAATCTTTTATCTAGATTGTCTAGTCTGTTATAAAGTTTCAATAAGATTACTTCCAGATGCTTAAAGAAATCTAATTCCCCAGGCAGTTTCAAAAGCTTTGGTATCCTAGAATGTTCAGTGTTATGAAAACTTAACATAACGTAAGATTCTGGGGGGGCTGGTACGTGCTAACACTGCGGAAGTGGATAATAGACCTGGCCATGGTAAGTGATGCGTGATTATTTGAAATTAGGTCCACATATGAAATAACTTTCTTTCTGGACATCTCTATTAGTGAAATATCTCCTTGTATTTGTCCTTGTAAGAATTAATCATCTGGGTTAGCTTTCAGAACAAACCCAGTTTTCAAATACTGCTGTTTTCCTTCTATCAGTAGCTGGAAAACATAGCACTGGCAATAGAGACTGTATGAAAAAAAAAAAATGTTCAGAGGTAAAGTTGTTAATTGTGTTGCCTTAATTAAAACTAGCAAAGGTTTAAGGTGTTGAAAAAAGATCTCCTCTTTAGTCCTAATGCCATAATCCCCACTGATAAACCTTTAACATAAGAGGAAAAGAATAGAGCATTGGTTAAAGCATTTGAAATAGGGAATGCTCAGTATTTCACAAGATCTTTTTTCCCTTTAGTGCTAGCATTTTGCAAGAAAAATATCATCTGATAATGCCCTATGCAGGTTAATGATGGTCATTTTACAAGAAGAAAGTTAAAATTAAATTGAGATGAACTGGAGTTGCTAATACGCAAGGTGATACAAATGGGGATAAAAGCTTCTAAGCATAATACCAATCCTTACTTTGCAAGGGAAATCTGGGCATGGCACAGAGACCCCTGTGGAGGTCCCCTCTACCCACTGCCTTTGGAAAACCCCCCTTTAAAGGATGACAGAGTGAACAGTCCATTCCCTTCATTATTTTTTTCCCACCAATTGGACTCATTTTCTACACATTCTTGTCAGTTTTCTCATTCTTTTATGGTTTAGTTTGCCAGACATAATGGTAACAGATGGTCTGAATCAACCTTGCTGTTTAGACTAGATCAGTCTCATTTTAGCTAACTTTCATAAACAGTTTTATGTAGCAGGTTGAGAAGCTTTTTTATTTCTTTGCTTCTTACTGTATTTGCTTCTATCAAGCATTTGCCAACAGCAGTAGCAATTGTGCTTTTTGCTTTTTTCTGGGCAGTACCTCAGAAATCAGTGCCTTGCTTTTGGCAACTTCAGTTTTTTGCTTCAGGGTTCCTTAGTAAGAAGCTGAAATGCTTGGGTTGCCAAACACTGAAAAAGTTTTGGTTTGTTTTGTTGTTTTATTCTAAATGAAAAAGCAAGTCCTTGTTTTCACTTAAGTTACATACTAACAGCCATAAACTAAACACTCAGATAATGCAATGGCAGAGGTTCTTTCTCTTTTTTTACCTGCTTTTCAGAATTTGTGCACGTTCATCAGTGCAGCCAGTAAGCTGGCTCAGCTGCAGTGTCTCTGGCAGACAAAAGATTCCGGACAAGTGAGCGCCTTGACCTGGAGTATGTCTGCATATACCTGTGCAAGTAAGCTATGGGCAGCTTGGTGTGAAGCACTGAGTTTTGATCTCCTCTTAATGCCTCTTTCACTGGGTTTTTACTCCATCATAGCAGGTAGGAATCTTGCCTAATGTAGTTTCCCTTAGTGCCGACTTCTGAGACTCAGATACCATGCAGTCTCTTGAAATCAAGTTTTATCATTGACACCAGCTCAGTGACCATGACACTTTGACTTAGAAAACATGCAAATATGGCCAAGGGAACGTGATACAGTTGAAATAACTGAAAGAGTGTCTTTTCAAAGAAAAGATTTTCAAGTTCTAGGATTTAATAAAATTGCTAGTGATCCAGCATGAAAAGGTGCTAAATTTTGGGTTAGACAATCAGGCAACGCTGGTTCTGAAAAGTTGTCTACAAATAAATACACACTTAATGGTAAATACCTTTAACTCTATGACTACATATAAATACATTTCTCAACAGAGGAGAATTTAAGAACGTACCAAGAACAGTGATTTGTGAAGTTCATGTGTTAATTACCTAGTGGTCTGCATGAAGAGTTCTTCACACAGCTATTTGTCAGGAGTGCCTTTGTCATATTAACAAAACTTGTTTAAAATACTCTTGCTGTAAAACAGTGATTCTGGATCTATTTCCCCGTGAAACAAATGCTTTAAAGTCAACAATTGGAAGTTGTGGTACATTTGTTGAACAATGGCAATAAATTTTGTGAATGGTTTTAGTCTGCTGCAAACATGAAATAATTAATGTTTAGATTTATTGTGGGAAGGAAAGCTGAATTCCTCATATTTGCAGAAGCCTAAAAGCATGCATGTGAACATTCACAATGGTTAAGTCACGCTAACTCAATTGTGGGTGTAGCTCAGTATCAACTACTGAAGGAGGAGGCTGAACAGAAAGAGAAGCAGTAAACTTTGACCACATCCATCCAGTGAGATAAATAGATACAGATAAAAAAATTCTATCAGTGATTTCCTTATTAAAAAAGACATTTAATACAGTGACACTCAACTTTGAGAGCTTGATCTCTGAAGCTAAAATAGTGAAGAGTGGGAATGTCTATACAATTTATATTTTCTCTATTGAAAAATAGATACTTCATAATTTTTTGAAGGTATAAATGTGTTTTATCTAGTCCACTAATCAGTATTCATTCAATTTACAGCAAGAATATTTACAACTGTAATGACTACGAATGATCTCGCAGGTGAGTAAAGCATGGAACTAACTGCCTGCTTTTCCAAGATAACAGCTGCTATGGTAGTTTTTAGAAAGCAGTTATCTGGTCTCAGGAGAACAAACCATGAACCTGGCAGGTTAGCATGGTGACGGAAGGAGTTACTGCTAAAAAAGTAGCACAGGATTACAAATACCTAGAGAAAACAAAAAAACCTGCATACACGTGGTGACAAGTGGTCCAATAGCCATTATTTTTTTCAAAAGGCAGAAGCACTACAAAATTAACTTATTTATGAAAATAGTAGAATAAAGCATTAAAAATCTTTAGTATTTAAACACATAAATAAAATTTAGTAAAATGCAACGTTTAAAATGTAGTAATTGAGCGATAGCTTTTCAAATAATGTGTTTCCTTTTGTGGGGCTTGTGCATTAAAAAATTCTAGAAAACTGAAGTTCAGTTTAGTATATGAATACTAATTGTAATGAATACAACGTTCAGAATGTTTATGGCAGGCTGAAAATGAAATGGTAGGCTGGGAAGAAGCTCACAAAAAACTGGTTTAAAATATATATTTTGCAGCTGATTTCATTATAAAGCAAATTTATTTAACAGCTTCTTACCATCCTGACAAAACTGAAAGAGCTAAGGAGTTCAGCAGATTTTTCAAGAAATGGTTTGAAATCAAGACTTTGTGGATATAAGAACAGTAACAAAATCACACTGTACGTTATTTGGTGGTTCCTTGTTCTAGTTCAAAGCTGGTATTTCATCAGAAACATGAATGGATTTATTTTTTTTTTTACGCAGCCCCCCGCATCACAATTAGGCTCTAGTTTTACAAGCAGTTTGAGTGGCTCTTTCACTGGAAAAGGAAGTCCCCTTTTCAATCACTTAGTTTCACTTCTACGCTTGCTGCTTTCTCTTTGCCAGAGTAAGAGTTTTGGGGCCATGTGGTTAAACTAGATCACCAAAAAATTGACATAATGTGCATATAGAAATATAGTCTGTGTCAGTTACTGAGTCCAGTTCACCCACAGCTACACACTTACGCTGATCAGAAGTGAGAGAGAGGTATATTGAGGGGAGGAATGAAGGGAGAAAAACACCATGAAAGTACTAAGCTGTCTCTTGAAATCAAAGCTGGCTCTGGTTAAAGCTGCTTTTTAAAATATAGCACAATACACTTCGGAACATGGAAGAGATGGGAGCAAACATTGATACTGCGCTGCTCTAATGGAAAATGTTTCCACTTCCAACACTGAACATTCTGGCATGTTCATCTTAGTTTCATACACACATCATGAAACTGTCAAATATCACATATTTCTCAAACAAAGTTTTGTGTACAGTTCTGTGAATATTCCATTTACCAAACAGATCTTAGATTATACCTGTACTTCCCACTGTATTCTCACCAGGTATACTATGCTTATTTTGGTTTTAAAAAAATCCCAAAGTTAATCAGGATACTGAAAAACTGCTTTTTTCTCAGTTGTCAGATTTCCTCTCATTAAAATCTAACAGGTACAAGTATCTCCTGTCTCCCTGAAGTCTAAACAGATGGCAGTAGAGAATAATCTTTTTATTATAAACAACACACATGATTATAAAGGACATGTGAGCTGTGGCTCCTGAGTTTAATTTTAGGTGTAAATATAAATTTGTATGAGGTTACTCAAACTTGTACTGTTTTCCTGGTTTTGTCACATAGGAATTAAAAGCACTGTACAGTATTATCTTAAGATATCACTCCCAAGTGCTGAATGCTCTTCACTGCTCTATTTATTTTGAGAATGTCTGGATTCCTAAACATGGTAATTAAACTAATTGACTGAAAAGAGTTGCAGAATGGGAACCATTTGTACACCAGTAAAGGTTTATAAAACGTATCTTCTGAAAATTACAGCAGTTGATTCTTTTCCATTTATGCTTACAAGGTGGTTTTTTTTTCCCTTTTAGTTCTCATCCGTTTCATAATCATGCTCATTCTCAATATTTGGGTCACAGCCACTATCCTGCACTACAGGAAAATTAAAAAGACTGATTAGAAGACACTCATCAGCACATAACATAGCTACCATCGAAAAACCCTGATATAATTAAGCTTAAACAACATAACAAAGGTTGAGGAGCTCTCTCTCTTAAGCATAGTATTTATCCCTAAGCATAATTAGTAGTCATGCTTATTTTCTCATAGAAATAATTCTGATAAGATACTTCATTTAAGCAGCATATTTTTATTGGTCATTTAAGACAAGTTTCACTGGTATCACATTTTCTCTGGACTTTTTTTACTAAATGAACAAGGTTATTTCATATTCAGATGTTTATATATTATCGTATCACTTCAGTACTTTCTGGTTACATTAAGCAACTTTCTTCAATTATACAAGAGTAATTTTGCACCAACGTATCAACTCGTCTTTCTGCATCTGCTGTGAGTTTGAAAAACAACAGATGTTTGTCGTCTTCTTGCAAGCAACTCAGTCAGACATTAACTATGTATTTTAGGATGAAGAAAATTGGGAATCAAGGCCCAATCCAAAATGAAGTTCTAAATGTATTTTACTAAGTCACAAATCCAGTTGGGATTGTAGTGCTTACATGCGACACTTAAACAGTACAGTTTATACAGCTGATACAGGATACCCATGGCCACTTTCAATATACCTGCTTTTTATTAGAATAAGAGCAAAACCTCCACTATGAATTCTTTTTCAACCCAAGCTCTTATTCACTGAACATACTGTTTTGGGAGCAGCAGAGACTATAATATATAGGAATCAATGAAACTCTGACCAATCAGAGTTCCCGAACTGACACCCAGACTCCCCAAATGCAATCCCTACCGACAGTGACTGTTTACATGTCCAGCCTGGGGCGTCACAGCAGACTTATCTCAAATGGTTATCAGTTTGTGATGATACCGCTCTGTGCTTTCTTAGTTTTTAGCTTGTCTGTGCTAAGTGTGCTGAAAAACATAAAAGACTTCACTTAAATTTCTACTTTGGAGACTAATTTGCAGTAAGTGTATCAAAAAGGGAAAAGGATATTCTTGAGAACTATTAGCAAAGGGTTTTGCTTTTAGAAATAATGCCTTTCCACCCAGAAGTTACAGCAGTAATCATATAGTTTGCCTTCAATTCTCATTACGTTCTCCAAAATGAAGAGACACCTTTTCAAGAGTTATTACGGTAGTGTCACTGTTAAAACCAAGGCACCCTTGGTTCTGACACTCTTGAAAACTACGGGAAAACTGCATTGACAACATTTGAGGCAGGTTTTCCTTGCCATGTGCTAAGTCACTGGACTCTTGTGGAAGAGTGGGATCTGCAAAAGCAGATGTTTCCACCAGTGTACACTCAGCAGTCAGACCGAGACCTTCACCGTCAGAAAACAGCTGCTTTTTAAACTCTGATTTTAGTGTGGGAAGGGGTGGGAAGAGGTATGTCTGTGGACATAAGATTTCATGTATCTCACATTATTGAGAGCAAGTTCAAAGATGAGGCTTTTTTACTGCTTTAATAAAATGTATAAATGTTTCTCTGTTGGTTGAGAGAGTAACTGTAAACATGCTGTTACTGATTTTACTAAAGTTGTGTAAAATATCTGAAGTGGTATAAATGGTGGCAAGGGGGCATGTGATACATTTTCCAGGTCATATTAATAAATACTATTCTTCATGATTGATTAATGTCATTCTTACAGTTAATTTTAATTACATTTAATTTTTTTATTCTGTTTCCATATATGGAAAAAAACCTAAATACTCATTACAGGTCATAATGGGCAGCTTTCACCTTAATATTTGAAGCATCAGGCTGTGTATTAACCTGTAAAATGCTAAAGAGCTCCAGCATCTTAAAAGGAAAAAACCCACACCTCATCTCACTTTTTTAATTAAAGCCTCTTATTGGTAGAGAAAGATTTGTGTAGAGTTCAAACCCTCTCTGTTATGGACATCTTTCATAGTCCTGAGTGATGCTGCAGCAAAATGAAGACATTCCATTTTCGATTGGAGGATCAGCACTTCAAGTTGGGTTTTGTCATCATAAAACGCAGAAAATGCATTAAGAAAAGTTCTTTACAGGTTAGTTAACATATTTCAAATAAATTGTCTTAGAAACCTGTGGAAAGAAAGAGACTAAGGAAAATAAAAAAGCTGGGTAATTAACAAGCTTAAGGTAATTTTGTGGATTTGGAAAGTTTGATTACAAGTTCTCATTCATCTGCAAGATAGGAACAAATGAGTAGGTAGCAGTAAATAGTTTTACACACCTTTTTCTCTCCCCAGAGAACAATTTATTTCACTTGCCTAAGACAGGCGCACGCTCAAGTCCTGAGCAAGCCCGACAGCACAGACCCTGTGGTTTGGCAACACATAATCTTCTCAGTAGCTGGATTAAAGGCAGTAGCTTTAGACAAGATACACAGGGAGGATGAATCTTGTTAAACTTGTCATTCAGCAGTACCGGGGCGGACACTGTTGGCTGCGTAACGCGTCTTGGATTTATTGCAGTGTGTGTAAGCCAGCAAGCAACTTTTATCCATAGGGCTGGAAGGTCTCCATCCACTGATCCTGTCTAAGTGCTGAATTACGCACTCGGTGTCCAGTTGTACCAGTCACAGAATGCTCACAGGTAACACAGCCCTTCCTGTCTGGCTGATAAAGTGTGGGTGCTGTCAGGGCTTTCAAAAAGTATGGGTTTTCTCGCCTGTGAAAAGACAAGATCTGAATTCTCATAGAGTCCACTGAATAACCCCCAAATATCTCCAGCTATGGCTATGATGAACTACAACTCTGCATTTGGTAACTGATAAGCTACAAGCTGCACTTAGCCACAAAGCTCAGTTTAACAGTATGAAAGAGAAAACATGAGATCTACTAGCAAAAAAAAAGAAACGAGCACACAATTCCAGAGACAGCAGGTTGCAGGTCTGAAAGTGAGGATGTAGAGTCAAAGATAGGTGTAGTTTACTTTTCCCAAAAGCCTATTTCTGAACGGTCCTCCGTGAACAGGAACGTTGCACACAAATGCAAACCTATTGTCGTCCCCACCCTATGGGCCTCTGTAATGCTTTGCATTTTGTGCAGAGTACAACTACGTAGGCATCAACGTGTTCCTTTGTGCTACTCTAATGCAGCAGAAGATCTTATTGCTTTGATCGTGCAGAAGTCCCTGTCTGACCCCTGAGTCTCTTCCACTGCCTTACATTGTGCATGTAGCTGCTCCCTAACCTGGTTCTGCTCATCTGATCTATTAAAACACAGGAGAGAAATGCGTGGGGTGGGGAGGCAGACACACACCTCACCCGCTGGAGCTCCGCAGCTGGATTTTAGAACAGCTTGACTCTTTGGAGAAAGTAATTCACTATCAGCTAAAAGGTCCCAAACAGCTTACAACTTGTAGAAAGCCTTCATTCACTCCTTCAAATGAGGTAAAATTAGTCTTCCTCCACCAAACAATCCAATTTCCAACAATACAATTTATACATGAAAAGGATATGTAAGGCGGG